CCCGTGTAGGTTGTGCCGTCGGGGATGTCGCCAAAGACATCGCCGGCAATGAGGAGCTCGTTCCACGCAGCAAACTAGCAGCAGTGGTGGTTGTGGTTGTGGTTGTGGTTGGAGGGTGATTTAAGAGGGGGAAGGGGGAAGGGCGAAATAAGGGAGTGAGGGTCGACGAGGCAAAAAGAGGATTAAAGCTGTCGAGACGAAGCGGCGAGTCGCACACACGACACACATGTACAGCCTCAAAAGTGTATACTCGCAACCCTTCCTCCAACACACACACACACACACACACACACACACACACACACACACACACACACACACACACACACACACGCACACACACACACACGCACACACGCACACACACACACACACTGCATGCACACGCGTGCACTAACTGTCTGTCTCCATTGATGCTGATGAGGGGTTTATTGGGTCGTCAGAATGTAAAGTGCTGATGCTGGAGTGTGGGGAGAGGAGAGGAAGGATAGAAAGAAAGAGGATAGAGCGGTAACACACCACATATGTGTGCCATGTCGAAAGCAATGCGACCACTCCGCGCCATTATTCATGCACGCAATGTATACTTAGAGCAAGCAAGCAGAGCAAACAGGAAAAAGATAAGGGAGAGCCCGCTCTCAGGGATACACACCACATTCGACACAACGGACACGCCCACACAAGATGGATAAGTGTTATGCACATGTGTGCGTGTGTGTGCGACGCGTTAACCCGTGTAGGTTGTGCCGTCGGGGATGTCGCCAAAGACATCGCCGGCAATGAGGAGCTCGTTCCACGCAGCAAACTAGCAGCAGTGGTGGTTGTGGTTGTGGTTGTGGTTGGAGGGTGATTTAAGAGGGGGAAGGGGGAAGGGCGAAATAAGGGAGTGAGGGTCGACGAGGCAAAAAGAGGATTAAAGCTGTCGAGACGAAGCGGCGAGTCGCACACACGACACACATGTACAGCCTCAAAAGTGTATACTCGCAACCCTTCCTCCAACACACACACACACACACACACACACACACACACACACACACACACACACACACACACACACACACACACACACACAAACACACACGCACACACTTACAACGAAGGGCATGAGGATGGAGCCGACGATGATGAGACTGGAGGTGAGGGCCATGGCAGAGGGGCGTTCCTTCATGTACGTCGTGATGAGGGTGAATGACGCAAGCGCAACAGGGAGTGACGCAAGCAGCACGGCGCTGCGGGCCTCAATGCCATCCAGATCCACGATGACACACACGAGCATGGCCAGCGCCGGCATGGCAATCATCTTGGCCAGGAGGAAGACGAGCAGCGGCTTCCACATGCGAATGACATCGCGCTCGTGGCCGCACATGAACATGCCCGTGCAGAACGAGGCAACCGGGGTGACGCAGTCCGCAAAGTACTGCACAAACGTGTCAATGACCTGGAAGACGATGAAGACGATGAAGAAGACGATGAAGAAGAAGACGGAGGAGGAGGAGGAGGTGGTGGTGGTGGTGGAGGAGGTAAGAAGTGGCAAACAGGAAGGAAATATGGCAAGCACAAGAGTGAGATGGATGAAGGTGAGATGGCGACAATATGTGACCGAGCAACAGGTGATGCACCGGCTCACACACACACACACACACACACACACACACACACACACACACACACACACACACACACACACACACACACACACACACACACACACTACCACCGCACAGCGAATGCACCTTGGGGAAGTTGTTTTCGTCTGCGGCCATTCGCAGGATGAGGGACCAGAGAAGACCGAGGCAGATGCCAACAAAGGGGTGGTTGCGAAGGAGTTTGGGAATGACACGCTTGATTACAATCCACAGGACACCGAAGAAAGTGCGGGGCATGGTGTCGTCCTCTGCCTCGTTCCCGTCAACAGGCGCGATGGTGGCCGCTGCCACGAGTGCACCACGGCTGTTGTTGCTGTTACTACTGCTGCTGCTGTTGTTGCTGTCATCGCTGCTGTTGCGGCCGCTGTTGGTGTTGCTGATGGCAGCGGTGTAGGAGGACGTGTGCGGGAGGTTGGCTGCCGTGTACATGGTCACCTCTTCATCTGCGGATGCCGGCTGCTGTTGCTGATGATGCTGCTGATGCTGATGATGTTGCTGGTGCTGCTGGTACTGCAGTGCCTCATGTACTACGTGTGCATCGCGCGTGTCTGGTGGCACGACCTGCTGCGGCACTTCCTGCCGGTTGAGCGAGCTGATGGATACCTGGTTCATGGCGAGTGCCTCATCCTGCGTCTTGGCTGCAGATGCGCGCACAGACCGCAGCTCAGCCGCGCCGCCGCTACGGCTGCCGTTGCCGCTGCCGTTTTTGAGCACTTCGCGGTACTCGAAGAACATGAGCATGATGGGCAGCTGGTAGATGACGGAGGAGATGGCGGCAAGCACGTTCAGGATCTTCACGCGCGGGCCGTACAGCGACTCGAGCATGGGGATGCCGAAAATGACCTGTCGACAGCAACGGGGGAGGTGGTGTGGTGCATGTAAATGGTGGGGAACGATCTGTGAGCGTGGTCTGTAGTTGACAGGAAGCGGCTGTGATCAGAAGCTGGCGTGACGTACACAAACACCCCTCCCCCCACACACACACTCACACACACGCACACACACACACACTCACACACACACACACACCTAGGCACACACACGCACACACGCACACGCACACACACACACACACACACACACACACACACACACACACACGCACACACGCACACACACACACACACACACACACACACACACACACCGTGTTGATCCATGTGCTTGAGATGAGGTTGATGAGAAAGTCGCCGATCTTGTCGTTTGTCTTCTGCCAGAGAAGCGGGACTGCGGAGAGGAGGCCGAAGACGGTGCGCAACAGCATGTACCCAAGGATGAAGCGCCATGACAGCTTGTCCAAATCCTTGGTTGCAAGTGCCTTGAACACCAGGCTTGGAATGCCTGCATGCGCATGTGCGGTGTGATTGCAGTGATTGCAGTGGTGCAAAGGCACGCCAGCAAGCGGTGCATGTGGGATGGATCGTGTTAGCAGGTGCCAGTGTGTGTGTGTGTGTGTGTGTGTGTGTGTGTGCTGTGCTGTGCACTTGTGACGCTGCATCGCAACCAAGTCAGAACGTGTGGGGCGCACATGAAGCACATGAAGCACAGCAAGCCCATTAAGTAGATCGAGCGGATCAAGAACATGAAGCACAGCACGCACATGAAGCGCAACAAGCAGCCTTAGCTGGCTCAACGCACCGAGAAGAAACACGAAGCTGTTCAGCAGAAAGACGGACTGAGGAGGAAAGGCCTTGCGGCGGAAGCGGGCGAAGCAGTATCCCGTCAACATCAAGCCGAGCAGCGGCACTGCCGCCTCTACTACATCCACCACCTGTGTCATCGTAGATGGTGTATTCTCCGCGGTGCGCACCCTGCTCCTGCTGCTGCTGTGATGTGATGATGGCGATCAAACAAAGGCAGGGAAGAATTAATGACAGACAGACAGCTACGAGTGATTTTGACAACGTTTGTCGACAAGCAACAACAAGCAACACAAGTCCGCGAGATGTGGGAGTGAGCGTCTCCTTTTCAAGGTTGGCAAGACCCATGTCTTGCTTCACCAACCCCCATGTCGATACGCGCACCAACCACAGCCAACACGTTTCGTCATCGCAGCCATCGCAGCCTCGCGTTTTGCGGTCCTGACGCAACTCACCGGTGGCGTTTGTAGTTGGAACTGAATTAAGGCTTCCACATTCATCGACTGACTTCAGGTTTTGGAGGACAACCAGCCACGATGATGCTCGCTGCCAACCTTGTTGTTGTTGTTGTTTTGGCTGCAGCCTTGTGCTGTTGCTGCACTGCTACTGCTACAACTGCTCTCGTTGCTGATGTTGCTGTGCCGGCGAGGAGCAGCAACAACAACAACAACAGCAACCACAACATCACGTTTGATGTCAAGTTCCACCAGCGCATGATGAACTACACGTGGTCCAGTTTCTGTGATCCCGCAGTGATCATGAACAACACCTGCGCCTTCTGCAGCGACCCAGACTTTCAGTGCGTGGTTGTGTTTGTGTGTTTGCTTGTTTGTTTGTTGTTGTGGCGGTTCTTCGCTGTCATATGATCCGGGCAGTGTTTCATGGTTTACTTGCGTGTCACCGTTGTGAACGCTGTCTTGTTTGGTTTGACCACCTTGCTTGCGTTTCTTGTCCTTGTTGGTTGGCCGCTGCGTTTTGAGTTTGTTGATGGCGAGCTTGTCCAGCCGCGCTCGTATCTATCGACTCATCTCCAACCAACCGATCGACCTTTGGTTTTTGTTTTGTTGTTGGGCAGTGCCGTTGGAACGCTGCATGACAGCGTGACTGAGGCTTACGGCTATGTTGGATACAATGCAAAGCAAGGCTGGATCATCTTGGGCTTTCGGGGCTCGTCAAACCTCGACAACTGGCTGGCAGACTTTGATTTCATCAAGGTGTGCTTTTTTTTTGTGTGTGTATGTTTGTGAGTACACGTGTTTGCGTGTTTGTTCATGTGTGTGTGTGTGTCATGGATGAGTTGTCATGCACTGAACCTACCCACTCTTGCAAGCTTCAACGCTTGCTAGCAATTCATGTTCACTGTTTCCACTGTTTCCACTGTTTCCACTGTTTCCACTGTTGCCACTGACCAATGGTCATGGCGGGGACAGGTAAAGTACAATGACACGGATGCCAAGGTGCACGCTGGTTTCTTTGCAGCGTGGTCGGGGGTGCGCGCTGCGGCTACAGGCCATGTCGCCAACATCCTCGCCAGCAAGTGCCCGCACTGCTCCAGGATCATCACTACTGGCCATTCCCTTGGTTCAGCCATCTCAGGTGTGTGTGTGTGTGTGTGTGTGAGTGAGTGAGTGTGTGTGTGTGAGTGAGTGAGTGAGTGTGTGTGTGTGTGAGTGAGTGAGTGAGTGTGTGTGTGTGTGTGTGTGTGTGTGTGTGTGTGTGTTCGTGTGGTTGCCTCTTGTCCGCTTTATGCTCGTTTTGTTTCCACCTGTTGGCTGTACCTCACCCCTGTATGCTACACCCCTGTATGCTACACCCCTGTATGCTACACTCATGGCTCACTCACCCACTCACCCACACGCTTTCTCGCTCACTCACACGCGTATTCAGGCCTGGCGAGCCTTGACCTTGCGCTTGAGTACGGAAACAACAGCAAGGTTGCCGTGGAGATGCACAACTTTGGCATGCCGCGCGTGGGGGACGCCGCCTTTGCGTCCATCTTCAAGCGCGCGGTGCCATACTCCACACGCGTCGTGCACCGCAACGACATTGTGCCACACCTGCCGCTGCAGGGCATGGGGTTCCACCACGTGGCCACGGAGGTGTGGGACCAAAGCCCACAGACAGAGTCGCCGCCAAATGCACAGACGTACAAGGTGTGCGATGGCAGCGGGGAGGATCCCACCTGCAGCGACAGTGTGCCCATCTTGGAGTGGCACCCCAAGGACCACGACTACTACATGGGCACAACGGTACGGTTGGGAATGGGAGAGAGAGTGTGTGGGAGAGGGTCGGGAGAGAGGATGGGGGAAAGAGAACGTTGGAGGGCGCGCGCGTGTGTGTGTATGTGTGTATGTGTATGTGTGTGTGTGTATGTGTGTGTGTGTATGTGTGTGTGTGTGCGAGTGACAGCGCAACACACGCAAAAGCATACGCACAAACTCCACCCACACCCACCCACACGCATCTCAGAGGAGGGGAAATTCTCTGACTGCATCTGCCAGCGAACCTCACGACTGCCTGCCCTTGACGCCGTTACTTGCACGTGTGCTTGGATGGGCAAATACTTTGCTTGCAGAACCACTACTGTCACTACGATCACTGAGCGTGCACTACCATACCCACAGGCAACGGGAACTTTTGTCAGCTTTGGGCCCCCACCCTGCTGCGTTCATCACCCTGTCACAAAACACCTGTCATGTTCTGTTACGTCACATCCATGTTGTCACTTGACCTGCTTGGCTTTGTCACCAGCATTACTCAGTCCAGTTACGCTCAGTTCAGCTCGCTTTCGCCTCGTTCATCCATCCCTTCGCTTTCCGTGCTCTGTGATGTGGTTGTGTTACATTACATTACATTACAACAGTCATTTCAGTGTCACAGTCAAACGTGTGCTCAACAAAACAGACGCACCACCATCACATCACCAACACACTACCGCTGCTTGTTGAGACTTCGTGGGCATCGTTCACATTTTTCGGCAATTCAAGGCACAAGAGCGGACAAAGCAAGCCAAGCAAGCAAGCAAGCCAAGCAAGCAAGCAACCCTTGTTGCATCATCATCATGAGCTTTGAGCGGCTGCATGGCGGCTACCACAAGGGTGGCCTGCGTGCGATTCAGGCGGCTGAATCAACACTGACACCTGCCAACTTGATGTACCCTCTCTTCATCACGTACGTGTTTGCATTTGTGCATGCGTGTGCGTGTGCACGTTTGCATGAGTGTGCCATGTGAGCATGTTGATCACGTCGCCGTGTGCTGATGACATGACTTGCACTATCGGCGATTGCAGTGAGGACGATGATGCCAGGGAAGCCATTGGCAGCTTGCCGGAGCAATTCAGGTGTGTGTGTGTGTGCGTGTGTGTGTGTGTGTGTGTGTGTGTGTGTGTGTGTGTGTGTGTGTGTGTGTGTTTGTGTGTGTGTGTGTGTGTGTGTGTGTCTTTTTTGTTTCGTTGACGCCGTTTCACGTGCATTACTCCCCTTCCTCCTCCCCCCTTTCTACGTCCCTGCAGGTGTGCGTGTTGAGCTACAGCGCCAAGTTCTGCTCTTGCTTCTACGGGCCATTCAGGTGCGCATATGGGGACGGATGTAGTGCTTTGGAGGACCATTGTATGGCTTGCATGGCTTGCAGAGTGGATGCTTCCCATGCTCGTTCTTCATCACGCGCACACTCACTCACTCACACACTTACTCACAAACGGTTTTGTTGTGCTTCACCCAACGCCCTTGGCCAACAAACACACGAACCCAATGCACACCATGACATTGCTCCTCCTCCTTCTCCCCGTCCATTCGCGCGGTATTGTGTGCAGGGATGCTGCCAAGTCGGCGCCAAAGGACAAAGCGAGCCACCCGTCTGCCCCGAAAGACCGCGCCCGCTACCAGATCCCGCCGGGCGCACGCGGCCTTGGCCTCAGGGCCGTGGTGCGTTGCACGTGCTATTGTGTGTGTGTGTGTGTGTGTGTGTGTGTGTGTGTGTGTGTGTGTGTTGCGTGTGTTGCGTGTGTCTTGTTTGTCTGTGTGTCTTGTCTGTGGGTCTTGTCTGTGGGTCTATCTGTCTGTGTCTGTCTGTGCCAGTGTATGTATCTGTGTGCGTCTGTGTGTTTGGTTGAAGATCAAGAGGCTCACGAGGCTCAAGAGGCTCAAGAGGGTTGAAGACGCACAACCACAAGCCATGCGCATCATACACATGCGCAAGTGCTCATTGACTTCATTGTCGTCCTTGGTTGTTCCTCGCTGTCTGCTTGTGTTCGCTGCAGAAACACGATGTGGAGGAAGGCGCCGACATGATCATGGTCGAGCCAGGCATGCCATACCTCGACATGCTGCGCGACTGCAAGAACGAGGTGGGTGCGTGCGTATGTGTGTGTGTGTGTCTGTCTGTGTATGTGTGTGAAGTG